TGTCTTTATTGAACAAAACTGGGGGAGACTGGGAAAAGTAGGCAGAAGAGGGGAGGAGAGAGGGGAGGAGGGGGAGGGGGAAACCTGGGAGGACGGAGCAGGAAGGGAGAAGCAAGGGAAAGAAGGGGGAGGGGAAGCTCAGGACTCAGGCATGGGGGTCTCTCCGGACCAACTTGATTTTCCTGAGAACCTGCTCCTGGGTTTGCATGTGGCCTTTGGTGGCCAGGCTGGCAGCTATCGTGCCCTAGACAGCCGCATTCCTCCATCTGGTGCAGAGATCATAGACGTTGGGGGCATCCCACCCAAACCTGAATAAGGTCCATGATCTCTACCCTGGACCAGGAAGGTGCTTGCCTTCTCCGGGCCCTGGCAGGCTCCTGGGAGCTGTCAGACTGCTCCTGGGGAGTGGTGGAGGTCTGGCTGCCAGTGGATTGCTGGCTCATGTTTTGGGGCCACTGGATCAGGGGCAGTGACTTTAAGGGCTCTGACCCCTTTAAGGGCTCCGGTGGGGGGGGCGGGGGAGTGTTCTTGGTTGAGGCTGGAGTGGCCAGCAGGGCACCCTGGGAAGGCTGGAGGCCCCCTATTTCAAAATATGTGTCTACACAGCACTTATTTTAAAATAGCTATTTCGAATTTGACATTATTTCTCGTAGAATGAGGTTTACCAAATTTGAAATAAGTGCTCCGCTATTTTGAATTTTTTTCAAAATAGCGGTTTGGCTGTGTAGATGCTAGGAAAGTTATTTCGAAATAAGGGCTGTTATTTAAAAATAACTTTGCTGTGTAGACATACCTTAACAGATTTTAAAGTGATTTCTATTTTAAGGAATATGGATTTGGCTAAAGCAAAACTCCAGCAGGCTGACCCGAACTCTCTTTTCCCTGTTGCATAGTAAATTTGATCTATTTAACTATTCATTTCAAACAATAATAATGATTTTATGCAAACAATATTAAGTCTTATAGGAGGGTTTGTGTTTCAAATGTCAAGTAGTCTGCACAGAAATTGCCTCACCAGCTAATTGTGAATTGGATTTAGAAAAAATCATTCTGACCCAAGAGCATATTCAAGTTTCTTTGTGACATCTAATTAAAAGAAAAAGAAATCCTGTACTATAAGAGTGCCCAATAACAGCAAGGTAACACAAGCATAGATTAAACAACTCAAATGCATTCCATTATCTGTCAACTAAAGTAAAGGCTTTGGATGGAGAGAAAAATTGCACTTTCAAGGTTACCATGTGCATGGTAAAACAGCACAGATTGAGAGTGTTCAATGAAAAATGAAAAACCATCAGATGGGATAATGAACATTTGTGCAACTTTGGTTTTGAACCTTTTTCTTGTAAAACAAACAAAACCATCAAAACGAATATACATAGAAGAGATACAACATTAAGTACATCACAAAAACAAGAAAGAACGTATTTGCTGAAGAACCATCAGTGTTTTTACCAGTGGGGGTTCCAGGATTTTGTAAGGAAAGTGATACTAGTGAAAGAGATATCAGGACAAGGAGCTTAGATGGGATAGCACAAAGAGAAGAGTTGGGAAAGGGCAACAAATCTTACATCCATCTGGACTCACTGTAGGATTTTCTGCCTAATGCCAACGTGGAGTTGCGGAAAGAAACTGAGTTTTCAAGAACTCTGCTACTACAAATGCTTCTCCCATTGAAGCCAATGGGAGATTTTAAAAGTGAGTGAAAACTGATTCAGGCTCATAGCCAGTAATAACAAGCTAACAACTCATTGCTAAATTTCTGCAATGTAGTAGTAAGGAACAGGCTACAGTGTGTACTCTGATCCCCTATCAACCAACCACGTTCCTGAATTTCAGTGTAAGTGTCTGTCCTGTAAAATGGAATGGAAAAAATACTTTCTCCCTAGGTCATCCAATCTGAACTTTGGTGCTCTCTTGGAATGACTTTTTAGATGGGTATTTGTAGATTGCTAGCAGTCATGTGACCTCAGCATATCATAAAATCGAGAATGTCTAACAGTCATTCACATCAGGATCTATGTTTTCTCCTCCAGACACAATGGCTGAACTTTTGTAATGCTATTAGGCATTAATATCAATTGGCACTGGACTGCCTTTAATTCCTAGTCAGTGTGATTTAAGAGTGTGCGCTCAGTGACAAATGAATTATTATTAGCCTTTGCCTCTAAGGGGGACACATTTTCTCTGTTGCATGAATTAGCTCTCAATAAAGTGGCAAAATATCAGGAATTCAAGTAATGTCCTGATGGAACTCTGAAAAGAAATAGTGGAGGTTGTTTTTTGTTTTTAAACTACTGGCTACTTTGGCAAGTATTGAAGTAGAAAATAAATTCTGACTGCATAGTGTAAAACTAGCCAATGGCAGCCAACCTCTCCTTTCTATCCCAGCCTCCAGCTCTCTCTGGATCCACCACTGATTTCCTGAGATTGCACAAATCAATGTAGCAATAAAGCCACATTAAATACACAACAAAATACTACAGGAGGACTACAGCACAAGGGTTTGACTATACAGATAGATACTTTTTTTAAACATCCAACCATTGCAAATACTGGGCCCACTAAAAAAACACAACCAAACAAAAAAAGAAATTAAAAAGAAATTAAAAAAAAAAAAGCTTGCTGCTCTTACATCTAGTGTGCCAGTTACTGTTCAAATCCTGAGAAAGGGAGGAAGAACAAAGAAGTGGGGAAAGTTGGCATAAAAACACAAAAGTTTGGACTACATGATTATAATAATAATAGAAAATAATCCACTTGTTTAAAAGCCTCATAGGACAAAAACAAATTAATGGTGTTCAGGAGCTGTACAGTGCTGACACAAAGCTTAACAACAGGAAAAAAATAAATAAAAGGCAGCTTGTTTTTAATAATTACCACGCTCATGAGTGAGGACTGAGGGAGGACAGGACATTTAGTTCAAAGAAAAGACAACAAGAAAAAAGAAAAAAGTTGAGATATTTTTTAGCAGATATAAAACATACTCAGTATTGGTTCTGGCAAAATAGTTCTGCACTTAAGAGAAAGATCAAATACAAATACAAACAAACAAAAGTCTTCAAATGAGGAAGCATGAAAATACCCTGATATCAGAAGAGTTACTTACGCAATTGGCAAAGAGTTAATAGTTACATGCAAAATTTGTAATTTCTAATAGCTTTGCCAAATGATTAAAAGAAAAATGATCCTGTAGCAAAAAAGCCCATTTCAAGAGCCAAAATTATGAATAATAGTTTTAAAATATCTAATAATGGAAATTATGCCCAGAATGTTCAAACATTCTGGTAAATAATTTGCAGAGAAACATGAAAGCAATGGTCATGCCAGCCTATGCCTTATAAGCCAGACAACACTTCATCAGTGCACAATCCAGAGTCATGGGCCAGAGTTTAGTCCTGTAAATTGACTTTAATGAGACTATTCAAATGAGGCAGGCAAGAAGGACCTACAATTTATTACGCTGTGAGAGGACTTTCAATGGAAGAGAATAATTTTAGAAAAATACTTGTGATCTGTCTTAAAGGCACTTAAACAATGGAGAAATATGACATGTAAAACAGCTACAGGCACAATAGCCAATGACATATGTGGTGAATTATGAACCCCAAAATATAATAATGAATATGCAGTCAAGCTTTTTTTCCTTGTTTTTAAGAATAAAAACATGTAAAAGGATTAATTAGTTGGAGGGTATAAACACTCAAAAATATTATGAATGAAGAATGTAATTGGGAATAGAGAAAATGTGCTTTGGTAGCACTACTAATCACATAAAAATACACCTAATGGTTCCAGACAACCACAGTAACAAGATGACAGAACGAATAAAGAAACTAACAATGAATTGACAACACAGAAATTAAAAAACCCAAATTGGTTCAAAATCATAAGTAAAAATAAAATAACAGAATATTTCCCAAAAGACAAATCACACAGAAATACTTGTAAAACAGAAACTTTAACAACAAATGTTCTTCGAACATCAGCTACTATTCCTGTGACCTCTGATATTTAATTTATTGTTTATTACATTGTCTATTTTTCATTCAACCAGAGATTAAACAACAAATCAGTTGGGAGCCCTTTACTTTATTTTTGCTGACCTTGGTTAGGGATTTCTAAAGTGTTTGACATGAACACTGCTGTGTGTGACTGGAATCTCTTTTCAAGTTGACTCATATTTTCTTTGCTACTTCAAAATGATACACTGCATTCCTTTGAGACATTCCTTCACTCTCAAACCTGCTCTAGTGATTGCTTAGGACTACTGGAGTCTAAAGTAGGCCAGTTAAATTATAAGCAATAATCTCTTAACTCCACCCTTAAACATCTTGGTGAAGATTTAACAAGGGTCTTTAACTATGCAGCTTTGATGAAGAACCATAAAAAAAGTCATTTTCATAAGATGATAATACCTGATCCTTCTTCTGTCACCATGCCAAGGCCCTCTGCTTTGTTTTGGCGTTCAAATGCATTTAGGTCAAGAACACTGCAATGAGAAAAGCAATATAGCATTTAGATTATTTGATAAATCCAGTATTTTATCTTGTTGGATTTTAAAAATTATGGAATTAACCTTAGAAATATTTTCCATCTTCTTAGCTGAAAGATGGAAAATGGAGTTAAGGAGATAACTGAAACATAATGTTACTAAAGCCAGGCATACCTTTCTTTTAAATAATGGGCTAAATTCAGCTCTAAGTTAAACAGCTGGACATTCGGGGAAATGTCATTATGCCAATTAAATTATGTTGAATTTATTGTGTAAATGATAGTAAAATGTAGCTCATTAGTAGTTACTGAAAAAGAAAGTATAGCCATATTATTTATGTGTGTCTCATTTCATAAAACGGATATTATTATTTGGGTGTAAATATATTCCCCATTGATTATTGGAAATTGTAGAGCTGTGTACACCCAAACACAGGTCAGTAGTGCTGTATGACGGTCATTGTAACAGCACTGCCATATCACCCAATTTTTTTATATATTTTCAAGTCATTTTAGTGCATGAGGGTGATTAAAGTTCTATCTGATCCAGATGTGCTCTGAATCACTGAGAAATCCAGATGGCATCAGGGCACCACGCCAACATCTCTACACTGTTGTGGTGGGGATGGATAGATTTTTTTTTTTTTGGACTGAACTATTTTTCCATCAAAAATGGGGTTTATTTTTGTGTGGAGAAAAAGTCATTTTTCCATAGAATTTTTATTGTTATTGATGGCATATTTAACTTTTTTCCCTGTTTGGGGGAGAAAAAAATCAGTATGGATGGAAAGTGAACATATTTCATTTCAAATTTTTCTAGGAAAAACCTAAGTATTTTAAATACACATTTTCAAATAAGTTTGAATTTAATATTTTTCAGTGGCTGGGGAAAGATGCCTGTTTGCTAACAACCTCCAGATTGCCTGATTGCAAGCAGCAAATTCCTGAAGGAGCTGTGTTACCACTGGCACCAGCACCCTACCATCTGCTACAAACTGGACACAGCTAAAGGTGTCTCCCTTGTAGATTACACTGGTTTTGGAATATTATCATCATGTGGGTTTCCACTTGTCAATCTGCAGATACCTGAAGGAAACATTAAAGTAGACAATCTACTCACCAGCTCCATTATTGCCCCTGTGGGGCAAAACGTGCCATGGGATTCTCTGGGTTTGGGGAAGTAACAATTCATGCCATAATGGCTCTATCTCTTGCTTTCCTTGGATTTAGACCACTGTACCCTACTTCACAACCTCCTCTCCTGTGAACCACGCAGAGAAGGAACCATATGGCTCCATTAATCATAATTCTATACACCTAGTTGATGGCCCTCATCTTGCCTCAGAGATGCTCATTAAAACAACTATTTTATTGTTTGGCTAACACAAAAAGGTGAGGATCTGCAATCCCAGCTCATAACTTTCTGATGAACACTTTGGTTTTTATTTTGTTATTTGCCAAACTGACCTTTATTTTTTTAAACACTTCATAACCATCATTGTTATCCCAAAATATTCCACTTTTAATAAAAAAAATACTTAAATGGCTATTTTGGTTTTAGTTAGTCTAAGATCTGAGACATCTGTCATGCAACATATGGTGCAAAATCAGCAGCCAGATAAGTCAGGATTAGGAGTGCTTTTCACCAACTTGGAACAGAACAGTCCTAATGTAAGGCTACATCGAAAAAGCCTCTTTCAAAAAAGAGCATCTAGACTACAACCAGTACTTTCGAAAAAGCAAGTCTGGATGCTTTCTTTCAAAAGCATAGCTTGCACTACATAGCGCCTTTTTTTGAAAGAGCACTTTAGAAAAAAAGCATTCTTCCTTGAAAACAAGGTTTTCTGCGGTCGAAAAAACTGCCGCGTTCTTTCGATTTACTTTTGAAAGAATGCAGCAGCAGTCTAGACGCAGAGGAAGTTTTTTTTTAAAAAAGGCCTCCCTAGGGTGTCTAGATACACCCTAACAGTGATCTGGGCTCAATTTTAAATTCCTATGCAAGTATCTTTCTAGAATTATTGTATTTATTTATGTATTGCATATTACTTAGAGCAAACACATTCAGAAACTTGAACCTGCAAAAAGATTATAGGAAGTCCTCCTGTCCACTCCAAAACAAATAACTTAATTCCCTTCTCTACCTTCCAAAGTTCTATCAACTCTCTCCCTACACAGAGGCCTCCCTCAAATTCTTAGGGAAATGACACTTGTAGAGTTCCCTGAAGGTATTCACATTTGGGTTCTGGTGGAAGATGGGAGTAGGTGAGTTCCAGAGTCAATGTGCAGATGAAGGAAGGAAATATTTAAGGTAGAGAATCTACCTTCACCTCCAGATCAAATGGAGTTGCATCACAGGCCACAAATATAACGTACTCTTTGCACAAAACAACCAAAATCCAGTATCTCTATAGTGCAAATGTTAGTGGAGAACAGTGAACAGGCATTTCAAATGCTTTCACAGCCTGTAAACATCAATGGGACAACTCAGAAAATAAGGTACTATTTGTCATAAGAGTGGAAGAATTGAATATACTGAAATCAGGGAATATGTCATAGCTGCCTGCAAGATAACTGTGTAATTAGTCATAGTTGCTCAGAAGTGGGGTACAAACATTCAAAGACAATTGTTTGTGCAATTCTGCCTGAAAGTTGGAGATAAGCATAGCCCCAGAACAGTTTCTCTGTGGCTACTTTCAAGGCTTATAAGCAAGGATTTTCTCTCTGTAGTCATTGCAGCTTCCTTTTCTCTTCCCCCAAAGCCTATTTGGAATTTTATTTTTTGCCCCATTGCTGTATGGCTGGCTGGCTTTCTGGGTGCTTAGCCCAGACCAGTTTAATTTTTTCAGTTATCATTTATAAAGACCCATATTGCTTTGACATAGTGGTTAATACGATTAAAACTCTAGGAACGTGAAAGAAAAAAATTGTGTGTGTGTGTGTGTGTGTGTCTATGTACACTTCTGGCATATTTACCCTTTCTGTTTCACCAGGTAATTCTTCAAAACTTCTATTGATATTACAAATCCTGTAAAAAAAATCCAGATACAAAATAATAGATTTATTATGATAGATATTTTCTTACCTACATGACTGCATAAGACCAGCAAGACTCTGGAAGAAGCCTACATCTTTTTTGTCCTTGAGGTAGTCGAGCATTTTCTACAGAAAATAAATCACATAAAATAAATGTTAAATCATTGGGCATCTGTTGCTCTACATTAATTTGTATTGTAATCTTGGGTGGCTTATGACAACTTGCTGCAGTACCTCCCACCCGAACCAATCACAGCTTTCTAGCATACAAGTCACACTCTGAGCGGTTGTGTGTAACTGCAATCTGCCAGCTACACTTGGATTTCACTCTGGCTCTTGCCAGCCTTGTCTATATTGCAGGGTAACCACAACTCACTTCCAGTCTTAGCTTTTCCTCCAGAAACATATGTCCTATACTGCCCAGTCCTCTTCTGAACAACACAAACGTATGTTACATCTGTTATTTCTTAAGATAACAGTATGCCAATTTGTTATTTCAATTAGTTATCCAGACACCTCAATTTAAACACACTGGATTAGATAACATAGTAAAACACATTTCTTCACCAAAAAGAGATTTTAAGTGAATACAAATAATGAAGTGTAAAATTCAGAAATGATTAAAGAAAAATATAGACAGAATGCAACTAATGTCTAACTTAACGAATTGGTAAAGTGAAAACAAATTTTTTCTTACTATAATCTCTCAATACTGTAGTCTTACTAGACAAACTTCTTAGGACAGAACATCTTTTTCTGTTGAATGGCAGCATTTTTTTTGTCCTGTCTTGTGCAGCGAATTGATGACCAGAGAAGGAGAATGGTCCCTTACGGTATTTATTTCTCCTTTTGGTAGTGTCAGTCTTCCTCTTGGAAAACATTTCCAGCTGAGATTCAGAAGATTGAATATATGTAAGGATATTCTTGTCTGATTTTCCCACCTATTTGAACTCCCTTTGCCTCTCCTCCTCCTTCATGCTCTGATTACTGCTTAAATGCAAATTAAGCAGAGCATGCATTCTTTTGTTTGAGACAAAAGTGTTTGCCAACCTCCATTTGGAACATGTGTAAAGAACATCCTACAGGCAAATCTTATAATTTCATATGCAATATTGCCACATATTTGACCAGCAGATTGAGAAACCTTAAATGATACCTTCCAGGCCATACCTTTTACAAAGATCACTGCCATAGTGTGTAGGGTATGCCACAGTAATTCAGTCTGAATTTGTGATGTTGCACTATCATTCCTTGTAAATTCTTTCTTCAGATCAGTAATTCTATCTAAACTGTCATCACCAAAATGCCAGAGAATCTTCCAAATATTTTAAAAAACAAATAACAATTTCTCCTCCCTTCTTCCCTTCCAGCTTAGAGAAAATGATTAACATAGTGCCTGTCTGTGGGATTGCCTAGGGAGGATGTGGAATCTCCATCACTGAAGATATTTAAGAGCAGATTAGATAGACGTCTATCAGGGATGATCTATTGTCCTTGGTCCTACCATGAGGGCAGGAAACTGGACTTGATGACCTCTAAAGGTCCTTTCCAGTTCTAGTATTCTGTGATTCTAGTATTCTGTGATGTGGAATGAACTAGCAGAATATTAAGTCAAGGACTACATTTTGTGTTTAGTTCTGAATGTGCTGATGTTAGTGATTGTTGTTTCCTATCACTATATATAGGATGACAGACTCTGAATAGGCTCATTACTTTGGCCTTGATTCAATACCATATTACTTCAGTTTCAATGGCAGCTACTAATAAGTGGCCCAGGGGGAACATTCTTTGTAGTAAATCTTCCCCTTTCTCTTTAGCAGCACAATGAAAAAAACAGGAGGGTTGAGCTGGGGCGAGAGGAGGAAGGGCTAACAATATACAGTCCTTTCAATCCTGCAATACAGAGTGCAATCAGAGGAGGAGTCAGCGAGGGCTGGTAGAAGTCTACACTCCTATATGACCCTTTCTTTCCATTCAAAGAACTATTGCCCTTTGGCTAAAGGGCAATCAATTTCAGGATCTTGCAAAAAGTCAGTTTCTGTTGTTGGTGAAAAACTTGTCACTGAGCTAGGTCTGCAGTAATTTGCACTAACATAAATATTTATATGTACACTGTGTCATGTTATTGTTAAAATTAGATAGACCCAATCATACACAGGTAACCGTGAAAATCCCAACTCGATTAACCCTGAGCTATCACCAAAAACAGTTGCTTTAGTCACTGTTCACATATTTTTCCAGACACCTTTCCCCCTGCTACATTATTCACTGTTCCCCAATCCTTCTTGGAATAGTATCACTCTCCATCCAACAAAAAAACACAATGCCAGCAGATTCACCACAATCTCCTAAACTGCATTTCTTTGACCGTGCCTGCATTCACATCAACAGACAGAAACACATATATTTTTAAAAAAATGAAAGAAACAAACAAAAAACCCTAACAAAACAAGAAATGCTATGCACACTTCTCCCTTTTGGGAGTGGATGACAGACCAAACAACATGTGACAAATGTTAGTCACATCACTTAAAGTGCTACCGGAAGGCACTCAGCTACTACCTACATTGACAAGTGTGGGTTAAGACAGCATTAGATAGAATGGATTAGATTAGATAGAATGGAACAGTTTACGCTCAAACACTTTACCTACTGAACTGTAGAATTTCCTCCATTTAAGATAGCAATCCCAAGCTTTAATGTAGCTGCAACCATGGGACCCATCTCACCTGGAAAATATTAAGCCAATACATCAAGTTCTTATTTAAAAAAAGAAACAAACCTATTCTAGTAACTTACCCTCCATTAGGAGGTACACAGCATGGAGTAATTCACATGGCTGTTTACAAGAGAGGATCATTTAAACAATCTCTCATGTAAAACAAACACAATTATTCTTCCTTCACAATATATAGCATATGACTTAGAGTAGGTCTATATTACTGCTTATGATGATATAACATATGTCACTCATGATTGTGAAAAAGTCCTTCCTATGAGTGATGCAAGTTACACTTATCTAAGTGCTAGTATGGACAGTCCTATATTAGCAGGAGATGTTCTCTTGATGACATAGCTACCAGCACTCATGGCAAGTGGAGTAATTATGCCAATAGGACAGCATCTTCACCAGATGTGCTACAGCAGTGCAGCAGCTCAAGATAGCATGTCTGGTGTAGACTAACCCTTAGAATCTCTAAGAATACATAGTGTAAAATGTCATACAGACTGTATAAACAAAGGAGAGAAAAGATGAAAGATATAAGGAATCGTGATCAAAGAATACAAATTACTCTTCAATCATAGAATCCTGGAGCAGCTGGTTCTCAGACTGGATGCACAACTTAAAAGTGATTTGTTAGTTTAACAATGTGTTCTTAGGGCACATCTATACTTGTGGAAAGATTGGCGCTGCAGTGGTCGATCTTCTGACATTCGATTTAGCAGGTCTAGTATGGGCCAGCTAAATCAAATTCTGAGCGTGCCCTTGTCGGTGTCAGTACTCCATGCAGTCGCAAGGAGTTAGGGAAGTCAATGGGAGCATTTCTCCCACTGACTTCCCACTGTGAGGATGGTGCCAAACCTCGACTTAAGGTACAGTGACTCCAGCTATTTTATTTACGTAGCTAGAATTGCATACCTTAAGCTGACTTTCAGCTGTAGTGTAGACCTGCCCTTCCTGTATACCCATATAAACAGACCTTTGACACTTCTTCAAGAACTAAATGTGGAGAATTTAAATACAGTAGCTAGAAGAAGTTGGCTACTTCTATTGATGAAGGAGAGAGTTGTTTAAGTAACAGTGAAGTAGAGACAGAATACAGGAAAGCAGATAAAGAAAAATTATTGCCAACAGATGGAACATAATTGTAGATTAATTTTATGGGGCAGCATCAGTCACATCAATGGGGCCATGCTTGGGGGCAGGGTGCAAATTCTGCACCTGGCCAAGGCTTATAGTTCGGGGGGGGGGGGGGCAGAGGGAGGAGGGCAGTGCCTCTTATTTCCCACTGATTATGCCTGTGAGCCTGATAAATAGAAGCCTAAAAAGATTTTATCAATGTATAGTAAAAGGATGTTGATGAGGTAGGGAGATGAAGGAACAGATTATAACTGGGCACAGGTGAACTTGATCAGAAAATAAAAATCAGAGCCTATGCTAAGTGCACAGACACGTAAATCCAAGTATTTCTAGAGCTTCACTTTGTCATTACACATCCAATGCACAGCTCTGACCTCCACACGGTCTTTCACCCATCTCTACATCATCTGGGCTCCAGCTAGGACCAGAAATACAAAATGCCACAAGAAAGTTTCTTCTTATTTTTCAGCAAGCTTTTGTTGGGTAAACTTCTAGCCAGAATCTAAAATGTGGGTGTTTATTTGAAAATTAACCTGAACTCCAGTTTTGTTAAGATTTAGCCACCAATAATTACAAGTAGTAAGATCTTGAGCCAAAAAAAAATATTTAAAACCCACTCCAAAAGAAAACTGTCTATGTACATAAGAAGTAGGTCTTTTACCTTTGCTGGCGCTGATAGTTTGAAGCACCATCTCTGCAGCACCCCGATCATGCAATCTGGCCTGCTGGTACAGAAGCTTCTGTTTTTCCATTTCTTTTTCCTGAACAGAAATTCCAATCAATTAAGTTGAGGACTTCAATTAATATAATCTCTCCACAAATTGTTTTTTTGTTCTCTCTCAGTATATGGGCTCTATTGCAACATCATAGATTGATTGAACATACACACAATGCTACTGAACAAATATTTAACATGTTCAATATTTCCCTTTGTGTTTTTCTTTATATACTTTTAGTCCTTTGTATATTGGGAAGGCTTTCTCTCAATTTTAAATCATTTGGTTTGTTCAAAGCCCATATTCACAGTATGTATGTACTGCATGTATCAAACTTGCACATCTGTGCGATGTTTTTTGTGCAACACTTTTCGTTATCTTCTACAACATAACCAGAACTTCATACTGCTCAGCATGTGGCTCTTGAGGAGCAAGTTGTTCCTCAATGACAGAATAGCTTCACTTGGAGCTTCATTCAGCTGAGAAAATTTATTTTAAATGAAAAATAAATAATAGGCAGAGTTGCATATTTCAAATAAGACTTATAATGTAAGCTAGATTTCCCCAACCCACAGCATATTCCAAAAGGATATTAGATAGAATACATTGTGCCTTTATATTTTCCATTATCTGGTGGCAACAAACAATACTACATGGTGCTGCTTGAGCAATGGCTGAAGTTTGTTCTTTATTGTTTAAACTACTGAAAACAAAGAGAAAATATGAAGGCACGGCTAATTCCAGCTGGGTAGGCTCTTTCACAGGTTTGCTGGAGAATTGAAAATGACCAAGCAGTATAAGTTGCAAAATGGAAGTTGCATAGAGCCCTATGACAGCAAGTCCATCAGATGGTGTGGTAGAAAAGCTTAGTCAATGGGACATGAGACCATCAATTAGTATCATGTCCAAAAACACAATGGCCAAAACATGTATGACCTAAGAGCAGGAACAGCTGCAGCAGAAGTAGCCAGAGTGGCAGGGCCAAAGTACAGAAAATAGACACTGGAAGATGGAAGAGGTTTAAAAAATGAAGGCCTGCTAGATACAGAACATGAAAAATAAAAACTGAAAAGAGGTAAAAAATAGAAATGGGCTCAAATGAATGAAAAAAGGAACCTTTAAATCAAAAGCAAACCAACACAGACATTTATGCTGTTACCAGAGAGTTCTTGCTGAGGCTGGAAAATTTGTTTCTTAAATCTTTGATAATATCGTGCTGCGGAAACAAAATTCATCAAAGTTTTTTTTCATACTACAGGTCTCCTGTGGTTAAACTTTTCCCTTAAATTATGTGATAAGTCGAAATGGAGGCATAGAAAAAAAATATGGCAGCTTTGCTTTAAATGTTGCCAGGGTAATGTCTGAAAGGTTTGCCTTCATGTTTAAACCTCTTCCTGTGAATTAAAAAACAGAACAAAACCACACATGTACACACAACCAAATACTCATTACACAAAACCAAATAATCAAGACAGTTTCAAAAAAGTTGGTCACAGAAAACCAATTAACACCTGATTTTCCTCCTTTTTCCTTTATTTATATTTAGACCCAACACTCTTTTCTTTCTCTTTTTTCACTTAGTTACTTTTGTCTTCGGGCCTTGCTTTATTATAAAAGTTTTGTTTGCAGCCTGAGTAAAGTAGAATAACATGGGGTGCCCCCTCCCTGACTGCTTGCATCATCTACATAAAAGAGAATGAATAGATGTGAGGCCAGCAGTTATACAATGAAAGAGATGTGGGAAGAAGCCTGCAGTTTAAAACCAGAGAGAAAGAAACCAGGGATTTTGGACTCTCTCCAGCAAATGCAGCCATTTATATAGTTGCCAATTTTAGAGAAGTTTGGCAAAAAGAAGATATGAAGATCAGTCCTTGAATAAGAGCATCCAAAATTCACATTTCCCCTATGAGCATGGCTAAATTTTCTGGCGCCACTATCTCCAAACAATGATGAAGCTTAGTTGAGCATGGTCTCAGGAGAGAAGACAGCTTGCCAGGAGCACAAAAATTATGCTAGAGCAGCTATATCAGTGGGCGTCCTCTTCAGGTATTATCACTTTGCAGCGTTCAGATTTCTTGATACTAGTGCTGCTACAAAGGCAGCTCTAAGGCTGGCAGTTGTATTTAACTGTGCTCAGTAAGGTTGATCTGAAGGAAGCTTGAGAAGGCATTAGTTTAGTGTAGTGATGAGCAACTTGGGCTAGTGAATGGGCTGCATGAGTGACCCTTCTTCATCTCAGCAGGTTGCAAGATTGTCGTAACCAAGATAGTTTCCCAAGCTAGGACAGTTTTGCTAACTGTGCCTGCATACCTAACATTATCAGGCTATGCCGACTGAATCATCGCAGTGCTCTAATTGGATGTGCAAGGCTCTCACAGTCAATCAGCACACATCTCACTTCATGTGCCCTTGGAGTACATGCATGTCGCTTTAGTAACACTGGCAGGAAAAAGCTACTTGGACAGAAACCAGCGGAATCTGGCAATCCTGCACTTGAGCAATGGTAAACAAAATGTCTCACAGGCTACATCATAAAACCCCAATTGGCCACATGTGCCCCACAGCCTGTAGGCTGCCCACCACTGGATCAGTGAGATTTGATCTCATTCACAACTCCCCCTTCCCCCACCCACCCACACACATACAAAATACACACTCAAATAAAAGTTTGGGATAATAAAATCAATATTTCACAAGAGGATATTTTAAAAACTCTGACACTAAAAAAAATAGTTATTTCTTGAGTGACTTTAATGTATATCATATAAATGATTGATAAACAGTGAGACGTATACGTATGCGGATTTTCACCCTGATGGCTTTCCCCAGAAAGGCTGTGCATTAGCTAGGAGGCTCCTTTGTCATCTTCATCAAAAGTAGAGTCTTTTTAAAATTATAACATTTTTTCTAAATCAACCATTTGGCAAAGGAAGAAGCTAGCTCTGCCCTGTATCTGTATCACAACTAACAATTAATTTACTTATAGTTAGGCTAAAGTGATAGCTGAGATATTATACTTTTACCTATCCTTAGAATATGTAATAATTACAGTCAATCAAAATATTACAGGTTTGCAATTGCTGGCAAATGTTTACATTTTTAATGTTAACCACCAGCTCTCCATACAGGAAGACAATTTGTAATGTCTAAACTTTACCTATAAATATTTTCTGTGGGTAAGTGTATGCCCAAGGTTTCTGATGTTTCTTGCTCATTTCTTTGGACTGTGTGCTTGGTTTTTTGTTGTACTATGGACCATACTTATTCAAAAGACTAAAATTATCCAAATGTTCTATTTTTTAGTGTATACAGTTTTCTTTGTGTGGGTCTACACTCCCACTTCAACGTATCAAAAGAAGTTTGTTCTTTTGTGATCAGCTAGTGATTTTGAAGATCTAATGAAGGAATAATATTTTTAGTCACTAAAGCTGAATGCTAGAAGAAAGGAGTCTTGCGTAAAGGCCATTCTTGTCAAATATTTCAAACTTAGGATTGGTACATGCAATTAATCTGTAAGAAGAGTGGCTATTTACAAATACTTTGAGACAGACTGGTTTAAAAATATGAGTCGTAGGCCCCTCTCTTCCAAGGACCAGAGATGGGCCTACAGTTCATGGTTTATTTATTTTCCCATTTTCAGTAGCCTTCTTCAAGCCACTGGTACTGCATATTGAAAAATGGTCTTGAAAATTCTCATAATTTCTCTGGTTACTTGTCTACTATTTGAGAATCAAGACTATTTATAGATGTTATGCTGTTTACAGCATCTTGTAGGTGTCTAAGGGCTTTACAACTATTTTTTTTACCAGGCATTATAAATTCATTTTTAAAATGATAATGTATCTGACTGATCCCATTCTCTCTGAATAAAGCATAATTTATTCTTAGTAGTTCTATACGTGCTGAAGCCCAATTCTTTATAGATCTTTATCAAGTGGCTAAAGAACAAATTTGATTTGATGCAGGTTTTTTGTAAACAAATGTATAAAGCCTCCATAGACCTTTCAAAGTCCTGGACTCATACCCAGGATTAATTTGGACAAAACATTCGTATTTGCCCAATATAAGTCTGGTAAAATGTTAACTCAAATTTTCAAGCAGGAGGATACTGTAGGGAGCCAGGGGATATTATGTGTGAGCAGAAAGTGACACCACTTGAGCTCTGGAATATTATATACAGGAAGTCCTCAACTTACAAACAGGTTGTAGTCTAGACGTACCCTCACATAGAAAGGTTTGAGTCCACTACTGCAGTTCAAGTAATGGAGCTGGCCTCAAGCAGTAGACACTTGTGCTATCAGATATAGAGGCCCAGCTTCAAGTCCCAGAAATAGCCAACTAATTCTTTTGTCATAGCTGCAGGAACTAAGTGGCAGAAGTTCTATAAAATTATATAAAAAGTTATGGCCACGTTTGGAAAGTCTGAAATAACTGAAGGGAAGATTAAAATAGAATAACTAGAGAGAAGACAAAAAGGGAAAAAACGTGTTATTTCCAGTTTATTCTGCAATGATCACTTTTCCTTTAATTTATTCTTACGTTATTTGCTTTCAAAGATCTCCCCTATTCTGAACCCCTGAAGGTATCCCCCATCTTGCATGCTGGAGACAAGCCAATGCAGAGAATAAATAGTATTCCACGGTCCTTACTAAAGCAAAGTGTCCAAAATACTTCAGGATATCTTAAAAAAATCTTTTAAGTTAAACCTTTAAATTTGCTTCATTTTACATTATAATCTCTGGAATAAGTCTATATCTAATTCTAAATCACACATGTTGACATATACATAAGGAAAGTAAATGAACTGTAGCACAGTCATTACTCAAGGCGTAAAATGAAGGCTTCAGTGTGTTTGTGTGCATGCATATGTGAGATGATTTTTTTCCATTTTGCTTGACACAAAATAATGTAAGTACTGCAATCTCTTGCTGTTGGAAATCTGGTCCCACCAGATTTAGCTTTTCTTCTACTTAAAAAAACATATTGCTGATATAATACTTAGCTGAGCTGCAACATCTTTTCTATGCTGGCATCCTGTTGGCATT